CGCCAAGCAGTACGACATGGCTAAATCTACGATCTGTACTATCTTAAAGAAAAAAGATGCGCTAAGGACGATTGATGTGGCTAAAGGAGTGACTGTGTTATCGAAGAAAAGATCTCATGTGTTGGAAGAAGTAGAAAAATTATTGTTAGTTTGGATTAATGAAAAGCAGCTTTCTGAAGATAGTGTTAGCGAGGACCTAATGTGCCAGAAGGCTTTGCTTTTGCACGGCGATTTAATGGCGAAAACGCCTAATACAAGTGACGCTAGCGTTGTCGAATTTAAAGTAACTAGAGGATGGTTCGAAAAATTTCGTCGACAAACTGAAATTCACAGTGTTGTTAGGCATGGAGAGGCAGCTAGTTCGGACACAAAAGCAGCAGATGCTTATGTAGAGGAATTTTGAAAAATTTATTAACTGTGAACGTTACGTACTGCATCAAGTTTTTAACTGCGATGAAACGGGACTGTTTTGGAAAAAAATGTCAAGAAGGACCTATATAACACAAGAGAGAAAGTCACTGCCTGACCACAAATCAGTGAAGGACAGGCTTGCACTTTTATTGTGCGCTAATGCAAGTAGGGATTGTAAGATTAAGCCTCTTTTAGTTTACCATTCTGAAAATCCGCGCGCTCTTAAACACAATAATGTGCTAAACGGTGAACTTCCGGTGTTTTGGAGAGCGAATAGCAAGGCTTGGGTAACAAGACTACGTTTCATGGAGTGGTTGACTGAAGTTTTTGCGCCAACTGTCAAAAAATACCTTGAAAATAATTTGCCCCTTAAGTGTCAGCTGGTTATGGACAACGCTCCTGCCCATCCTCATAGTATGCAAGAAGACGTTGAGGTTGAATTCCACTTCATAAAAGTCAGATTTCTGCCTCCTAACACCACTCCTCTCATCCAGCCCATGGATCATTGCGTAATTTCCAACTTCAAGAAGTTATATACAAAGGCTCTTTTTTCCAAATGTTTCCAGTGACCAACGACACGAATTTGACCCTGCGTGATTTTTGGAAGGATCACTTCCATATCCTCCACTGCATGTACCTCATTGACAAAGCATGGAACAG